GTATATGGACTTTGGACTACTTTGCTTACCTCAACTGCTTTATAACCACCCTTACCTGATTTGTTGGCATCAGTGTAGAAAGTAGGAACTCCAGAAATGGAAGTTTGTCTTACAATACGTGGAAGAATCCAGACTGTCTTTTTTTTAATTAATTTAATTCTGTCAGTTTTGGGATAATTGTTGCTAATCGTTCCAAAAAAGTCAGTAAGAGCAAACAATATTCATTATCCTTCCACAAGGAGGAAATTTCCTCATTAGTTAAAGGTACTATAATTTCTGCTGGATCTTTTCCAGTCAGTTGACAGAGTCTTAATTTTCCCTTTAAAAGCAAATCAGAAATCTTTTCTATATATGTCTTTAACTTTTTATTCTGTTTATGTGGCAGAAATATCCATTCCAATATGGTGTCTTCCCTCTGCATCAGAATCCCAGAAGAGTATTCTCTGGATGGCAAGATAACCAAAATACAGTCTAAATTAAGGTTTATCTGACCTACATGCTCATCCAATATTCTGTTTCCTACCCATTGTAATTCTTTTTCCACCTTAGCGGATAATATTCTCAAACTGTTTAGGTCCTTATCACCTTTAAGGGCCATTTTTAAATGCTTTAAGTCATGACCTTCCACACCAATAATCGTCTGTAATTGAGAAATTTCTCCTAATAATTTCTGAAGAGAATTAAGAGTTTGATAATGATCTCTCCTAATTTGTACCGTCTGTGGCCTGATTCTTTGTAAGTCTGTCTTGTAACCTAAATAGTTAATAGAATCTCCACTTTGTATCTTTTCTGGGGTAATCTGTAACCCCCAGTGAGGCACAACTTCCTTCAGCATTTCAAACATACGTTCCAAAGTCTCCTTATTAGAATCTGATAAAATAATATCATCCATGTAATGATAAACAAGAGATTGTGAAAATTTCTTACTAATTATTTCCAAAGGTTGCTGTACAAAGTGCTGACACAAAGTAGGACTATTTAGCATTCCTTGTGGCAAAGCCCTCTACTGATATCTCCTAACTGGCTGTGAATTATTAAGAGTTGATACAGTAAATGAAAATTTTTCTCTATAATTTTCTTGTAATGGTATTGTGAAAAAAAGAGTCTTTCAAATCGATGACTATGATTGGCCATCCCCTTAGGAATCAAGGAAGGTGACAGCATTCCTGACTGCAGAGAGCCCATTGGTTGAATTACCTTATTTATGGCTCTCAGGCCTGTCAGCATTCTCCACTTACCTGACTTCTTTTTGATAACAAATACAGGAGAATTCCAAGGGCTGGTAGATTCCTCTATATATCCAGCATCTAGCTGTTCCTAAACTAATCTTTCTAAAGCCTCTAGCTTCTCAGAGGTCATAGGCCATTGTCCTACCCAAACAGGTTCATCTGTAAGCCACTTCAATGGCAGGGCCTTTGGCTCCTCTGAATGTCTATCATTTGTACCTAGTTTCTGTACAGCCTGGATGGTTGGTAACCATTTTCCACAGTGTCTTACCAGATCTTTTCTACAATCTAAAGATTGTACATAATTTGTATTCAACACTGGAGGAATATTAATCTGAGTATTCCATTGCTGTAAGAGACCACGACCCCAGAGATTTATAGCTGTATCTGCCACATATGGTTTCAGTCTCCCTTTCTGTCCTTCCGGTCCAATGAAGACCACTGAGTGAACACTCTGTTGAACTCTAGATAGATTTCCAATTGCTAAAAATTGTACATTTGCCTCTCTAAGAGGCCATTTCTGAAGCCAGGACTTTTGGGTGATAATAGTCACATCTGCCCCAGTGTCTACTAAGCCAGTAATAACTTTATTATTCTCACTTTCAACTGAGGCCTTTTTTTCATTAATAGAAGTTTGCCAAAATATGCGTTTCTCATTTTGTCCATTCACATTTGATTCTTCATCACTATCCAAACTACCATCTAGAGCAGTATCATTTTTCACAGTAGGCAAAGAACTATCTATTCGTCCTGTGAGAGATTGTCTTCCACTGCTACTGGGAACTACTGGACCTTTCTCAATGTGGGGGCCGTCTTGAGGAGGCCGTCTTAAGGAGGCCGTCTTAAGGCCTTGGGGTTTCCCGGCCTTAACGGGTTTCCTTGCATGTCCCTGGTCGATCTACATTCATTGGTCCAGTGTCTGCCCTTACCACATCTTCTACACAATCCAGAAGGCAGTGGCCTTCCATATGAGGCATTGTTAGAATTCATTTGTCTACAATTTCTCTTAGTATGTCCCATTTTACCACAGTTGAAACATGTAGGTTCCTGGAGCCTTCGTGGTCTCTAGGGGAAGGCTCTTCCTACCCAAGGTTCTGATTCATAGTAGTGGTAAACTCTGGCTTCTTGGTACCTATGTTGACCTCTGTAAGATGCTTCTCCTTCCCAAGCCCTTGCATCCTCACCTCTAGAACTTTTAATCTCCTGTTGCCTTTTTAAACCTTTCGAGATGGCTTCTCCTACCCAAGCTCCAGTATCTTGCACAATCTATTCGTTGTTGGCTGCATGCAAAACCCATTCTTCTAGCAGAGCTGATCTGATATTTAATGGCAAAAGTATTCTTTTGCATATTGGGTTTGCATTTTCATAAGCTATTGTATATATAATTGATTGTCTTGTTTCCGGATCTGTTACCTGTAATTCTACTGCCCTAGTTAACCTTTGTAAGAAGTCCTGGAACTGTTCTGTGGGTCCCTGTTCTATTCTGGTATAAGCTTCTAGGCGTTCTCCTGGCTCACAAACCTTATCCCAGGCATTTAATGCTGCTTTCCTGCATAGGGACAGTATATGGGCTTCATATTCAGGCTGAGCCTGTGGGTAAGCATAAATACCCTCACCAAGAGTCTTATCTAGGGTGTCTTCATAACCGTCCTTTATGCCTTGATGCTCAAGGAGCTTTGCTTCCCTAACCAATGCCTTCCACTGGATTTAGCATGAATTCTCAAGTACAGATGCTACCAATCATTCCCAATCTGTGGGTGTCACCCTGTTAAAGGTTGCCCATGAATGTAATAGCTGTTTTACGTATGGGCTATGGAGACCATATGAGACAACTGATTCCTTAATATGCTTAAGCTCCTTCAGCTGTATAGGTTGCCATAATAAGCCATCTGTCCCTGAGGGTGTTTCTTAGAAGGTGGATTTTGAAGGTAGGTACCTGGTAGCTTGGTACACTAATGGCGTACAAGTAACAACCTTAGAAGAGTAGTCATGATGCCTGGGTAGAGTAAGTGCCTCGGATTGGAGTGTTTCTGTCTCTGAGGCATCCCAATGATCTTTAAGCCTAGTAATGATATCCTCATGAAAAGTTTCAATTTCCTGCATCACAAAGGATTCCAAGCATGTTAGGGAATCCGTAAATTGCTCTAACTGCTCCTCTACACATTTTTCTAGGTCTTTAATATGCTCATCCTTAGACAGCATCTGGATGGCATGGAAACTGCCTTCTAAATATTGGAGTCTAGCTTCAAGGTCATGATTTGTTGATCTGGAGGCCTCAGCAATTGACCGAATGGACCTATCTAATCTGTCAGCCCTGTTCTGTAAATTATCTTCCAAACATTCATATCTAGACTCAAAATTTGTTATCTGCTGCCTTAGATGCTTCAATAATTGATTGAATGGCATTGTCCAATTCTTCAAACCTATCCTGGGTATTTTGCACCTTTGCATCTACTTTCTGGGACACAGAGTCTACCTGAGTTTCTAGTTGGCTACAGATATTCTTTAGTTCGTCATGGTCCTCTGACAGCCTAGCTTCTAACGCCTCAGACATGGAGCATCTCTCTGTGTTTATCTTATCAGAAATACGTTGCATCTCATCTTGGGTAACAGACAGCTCTGTCTTTAGCATATCAGACATAGAGCCAAGCTTATCATCCAACTTCTGTTCCACTTGTTGCACAAATGTGGCCTGACTTAATCTGTTCTCCAAAACCTCATTGCGTAAACTGTTATTTTCTACAAGCAGTTGGTGGTTATCTTTGTCCCTGTTCCTGAGGCCTCTGGCTAGTAATGTTATTTGTACTCGCAAGGTAACTGCCATTACTGCATATAGGCAGGTAATTGGCAGATTAGCACCCTCCTCAAACATTGACTTCACATAATAAGTAAAGATATTACCAATTGAAGCAAATGATAAATATTCTGCCATGATTTTACCTGATGGCTCCTACTCCAGATGCAGTAACTATCTTTGACCAGCAGGTGGCACAGGCGTTCAGATAGTCTGTACAGCTTTTGGCAGCAGTTGGTCAGGTAAGATGGCGGCAGCGGCACTTAGCTGGGAGCATGTAAGGCCTTTCGGCCACAACCGCTGAAAAAGGTGCTGCTTTACCGCCTCTGTGGCCAGGGGAAGCCACAGATCCTGAGAAAGCAGACTTGACTTGGGGCTTGTGCAGGCCCTGGGGAGCTCGAAGGGCAAAGGACTTCTGGGAAAGGGCAGGCCACAATCTGGGCCTGTCCCATGCACGTGCAGCTAGAAACGGGTGGTAAAACCGTGGGGAAGTTTGTAGAACTCTCCCAGCTGGGTGGACTGTTCTGAGCGGCTCAGCAGCAGCAGCAGTCAGCTAGGAGCTGGGAGCACCTGTGGAGAGAGGGAGTGCTTTCCCGGCCAGCTAGTGGGACCCTCGGGGCACTCCCAAACGAGGCCTAGGTTTACAATATCCCACTCCTGACACCAGATATTGTGGGAATTACCAATATGGAGCCAGGTAAAAAATACAAGGGAATTTATTAGGGAAAGGCCTTACTTACAGAACAACCTAGCCAGCCAGCGGGGCAGCAGTAAGTACAGCAAGCTGAAGATGAAATGGAAGAAGGGACGGCCTAGCAGGCGTGGCTACAGTGTCCCCTACACATACCTGTGAATCCAGTACTCGAGAGGCAAAGATGGGAGGATCACAAGTTCAAGGTTATCTTTGGCTATATAATGAGGCCAGCCTGAATTTTGGCTTAGGAAATGATAAACTCATTTATTTTTATTTTTACTTTTTATACATCAGAAAGCATTTACGTGCTATCATGAGTTTTATCCATACTGACTTGCTTCATCACATGTAGAACTCAGTTTTAAAATTTATTTTTACATGTAGGCACAGCACTCATAGACTAAATCTAAAGAAATAAAATTCTTTTCCCTTAGTAATGCATGCATACCATCCTTTTGTCTATCTTGGGTGTTTTTGTTTTTTCTTTTTATTCTTTCACTTCTTACCTCTCACTGTCTAGGTTCTAGGCCCTGCCTAATGTGCTTTGTAAGTGAAGTCTTCTCATATGATTGTCCCCCCACTGCCTTCACTTTCATGCCTGGGATCCCTTGGTGTGAACTCTGAGGATTTATGCTGAAGAATGAAGTATAATCTGATTCACTGGGAGAACATGTCTGAATCCTAGCTCTTAGAAGGCTGAGGCAGGGGGATTGCTGAGTTAGGTCAACTGACCTCCACAATGAGACCCCATCTCAAAATATCCCCCCAAATAACATAATCTGACTGGTGTTTGGGTCCCTTGCAGTATTTGCCACAGTAGTTTGGGTGATGCTCGGGAAGCGATCATAAAATTCATGGCTCAGATGAAGAGATTCAGATCCACAGCCACCCAACTAGTTAATAGCTACAATTGGATTTGAAGCAATTGCTGCAATTCCTCAATGTCCTACAGAATAAATGCTAAGAATAGAAAAATGTCTGTTATTATCCCAATAAGCAAATATTTGTACCACCCAAAATATACTGAAGAAAGTACCATAATTTTATGTATCTATCTATCTATCTTTTGTTTTTTGAGGCAGGGTTTCTCTGTAGCTTTGGCTGTCCTGGCACTGGCTCTGTAGACCAGGCTGTTCTTGAACTCACAGAGGTCCACCTGCCTTTGCCTCCTTTAAGGCTGGGATTAAAGGCATGTGCCAATACTGCCAGGCCAGTACCAGAGTCTTTAGTGGTGTCTTGTCCCTCTAAAAACTAATTTATCTTCAACTTGTGGCTATAGGAATGCAGAATCACCCACAGGATCTGCACCAGAGTCTTTAGTGGTGTCTTGTCCCTCTAAAAACTAATTTATCTTCAGCTAGTGGCTATAGGAATGCAGAATCATCCGCAGGATCTGCCAGTGCAGTTCACAGCCAGTGCTTGTGTCCTCAACCTAACGCGTGAAGACCTGGCCAAGAGAATGCCTGTTCGCCTGTTGTCAGAGGTCATCTATCTACTCTTCAAAGCAATGAAGAATTTCCCCTACTACCAACAGGTAATTTGAATTAAATTATTGACTAATATTTAACCTTAGAACATATATATGGAAAATATGTGTTACTGAATTGCAGTTTTTTATTTTATAGATAACTTATGTTATAGAAAAAAGTAGGAAATATGTATAAGCAATGAAGCCGAAACCATTTTCTCAGAAAGCTGGGAATGGTTGCATACACCTTTTATTCCAGTACTCGAAGGCAGTTTTAGGCCAGCCTGGTCTATGATAGAGTTCTAGGACAGCCATGGCAATTCAGAGAAACCCTGTCTCAAAAACCAAAAGCATAAAAATAATAAAAAAAAAACCATGGGGCTGGAGAGATGGCTCAGGGGTTAAGAGCACTGAATGTTCTTCCAGAGATTCTGAGTTCAATTCCCAGCAACCACATGGTGGTTCACAACCATCTGTAATGTGATCTGGTGCTCTCTTCTGACACCCACTGTACACATGATAAATAAATAAATAAATAAACAAACAAACAAACAAACATTTACTAAGAAACATCCACTAACATTATCAGGCCAGTTGTGATGGTATTCACCTATAGTCCTAGCACTTGAGGTGGGGGGTGGGTTGGGGCAGAGGCAGTGGGATTAGAAGTTCAGGTTATTCTTTGCTGCTACATACAGAGAATTCAAGACCAGACAGGGCTACAAGAGATCTTAACACAGAAATCCCAGGGGGAAAAAAGAAAGTTGAATTGGGGCCAACAAGATAAAAGTTAGCACTTAGCAGGTAAAAGACCTGAGTTTGATCCTTGAGATTCATATGATGGAAGGAAAAATGTCACCTCCTGTAAGTTGCTTTCTGATCTCTGCAGGAATATGTGAACACATGTGCATGTTCATATGTGCTTGCACAGAGATCAGAAAGCAACACGCACATCTCATCCTCAACTTCTAAATAAATGTAATAAAATATTTTTAATTAGGTGAGTAAAATCATAGAATTAAATATGAAACTTAAGGCCATGAAATGTTTAGGAGAAAATTCTTTTTACCTCACAAGTCATAAGATATGCTAGGTTACTAAAAGCAAAAGCTTTTCTTTAGGACTGGGGACATAGCTCAGTGAAAGAGAATTGCTAGTGTATATAAGGCCCAGCACCAGAAAATAAAACCATCAAAATTAAAAGTTCTTTGCCTGGGAGTGTAGCTCAGTGGTAGGGCACTTACTAGCATGCATGAGGTTGTAGGTTTAGTCCCCAGAACCTCAAAATAAATAAACGAATAAATAAAAGTTGAGGGACTGGGGAGATGGCTCAATGGTAGAGACTCTTGCTCTGCAGGCATGAGTTTTAGTCCTTAAACCTGCAGATCTCTGTGAGTTCAAGGCCAGCCTGCTCTCCAGAGTGCCAGGATAGGCTCCAAAGCTTCACAGAGAAACCCTGTCTTGAAAAGCCAAAAAAAAAAAAAAAGTCCTTAAACCTGTCTGGTTGTGCTGCACGCACACATGTATGCCTCTAATCCCAGCACTCAGAGGCAGAGGCAGGGAATCTCTGAGTTCCTGGTCAGGCAGGAATACATAGTAAAACTCAAAAACGAAACAACAAAAAAAGACAAACTAAAAAAGTGGAGAACAGTAAGTGAAGACACTCAAGTCAGCACACATAGATCACACACAGACACACACAAAACAAGCAATGAATTTAAACATGAATGTTCATAGTATCTTAATCTGAAATCATCAAAAGGTGGACTGACCCAAGTGTTTCAACAACAGATGAATAGATACTCAGATGTGATGGCATTTAAGGGAGTCTTGTCTGACAAGAAAGAAGTGTACTGGTTGGTACATGAAACGTAGGTGACCCTAAAAAACACGATTCAAGCAAAACCTGCTAAAAGAGTGGGTGGCATGATACCATTTAAATCTTGATTGCAGTGGTGGTTATTCACAGCATAAATTTATCAAATCTAATTGAAATGCATGATAGTTCTCAGGATAAAGGCATCTCCAGGCATCCTGGTTAACCCAAGTTTGATCTCCAGGACCCACATGATGGAAGAAGAGAGCTGGTCACTCCAAGTTGTCTTTTCACCTCTACATGCTTGAAGTGACATGCACACCCACACACAGAGAGACACACACAAAATTAATGTAACTTCATAAAGTAGATCTGACAACACCCTCACAAAGACATACATGTAAGCAAAACACCAGTGCATATGAAATAAAAATAAAAATATATTAAAACATGGGAGTTGGTCTTTAAGAGTACAATTCAATCTTTATTCCAGTTGTAGGAGTAAATTCAAATTGTGGAGAGAGGCTGGGTGGTGGTGCCCGCCTTTTATCCCTGTGCTTGGGAGGCAGAAGCAGGTGGATCTCTGAGTTTGAGGCCAGTTTGGTCTACAGAGCTAGTTCCAAGACAGCGAGGGCTACACAAAGAAACCTGTCTCTGAAAATAAAAATTCACGGCGAGTTCTACATAAGTAGTCATTGGTCATACCAGCCACATATCTTTTTTTTTTTTTTTTTTTTTTTTTTTTTTTTTTTTTTTTGAGCGGGGTTGGCTTTGGAGGCCGTCCTGGAACCAGCTCTTGTAGACCAGGCTGGTCTCGAACTCACAGAGATCCGCCTGCCTCTGCCTCCTGTGTGCTGGGGGATTAAAGTTGTGCACCACCACCGCCCGGCCCAGCCACATTTCTTAACTGCTCTCAGAATGGAGCATCACATTTGCTGATGAGTGTTCATCCTTTCTTCCCTAATAGTTACAGAAGAATTGTCTTCTCTCCTTAACCAGTTCCAAGATTCTTATGGACGTTCCCTTTGACAGGCAAGTACAGATAACACATCTGATTAGTTCAGGCCAGCAGCACTTAGTTACATTCTGGAATGTACTTCTCCTGGGCTCTCTCTGAAATGTTCTTATTTTCATTGCTAACGCTTTAGAAGTTGAGTTTTACTTTTATGTTTAAAATTTTCCTTAGCATATACTATACCCGATACTGGATTTCATTGTGGTATTTCTGTACCTGTATATAATGTATTGATCTTATTCATCCCCAAATACTCTCTCGTTCCCTTCTACTCTGAGCCTCTTCCTCTTCCCAACTAGCCACCCTTCATTCTATTTTTCATGTCTTCATTTTCGTGAACCAGTTAGCTTAATTAGGGCTACTTACAGAAAAATGGGTGAGGGTTTATACAGGGAGGGGCATGGACAACTTACCAGAGGCTACACCACTGAAGAAAGTAACTGCTTTTCAGGTTTAATGCTGCCAAGCTTGTTATGAGGTGGCTGTGCAGGCGTGAGAACCCCAAGATGCAAACAATGGCAGTGAGCATCACCTCCATTCTAGCCCTGAAGGTAGGTGTGTGCCAGGGTTACCATTTCCCCCTTCCTAGGCTTGGGAGAACTTAGGAATTTCACTTGGGTCTTCTGTTTGCTTTCAGCTCTTACCTGAGGAGACTGAGCAGCTTCAGGAAGAGCTCATCATTACCATCAAGGTAAGCCAGTGAGCTGAGGTGATCACCACTCCTACTCCACTATTCTGGAGTCTTTTGCGTGCTAGGCAAATGGTCTACTACTGAACTATATCCTTGGTCCGTAATAACTTAAAAAAAGGAACAAATTTATAAATGAAGCTTTTATTATTTATTTTTTAATAACTTTTTTTTAAGGTGTATGGATTTTTTATGTTTTGGTTTTTTGAGACAGGGTTTCTCTGTGTAATAGCTCTGACTGTCCTAGAACTTGCTCTGTAGACCAGGCTGGCCTTGAACTCATAGAGATCTGTCTGCCTCTGCCTCCCAAGTGCTAGGATTAAAGATATGCACTACCACTGCACAGCTGAATGCAGCTTTTAAAA